TACTTGGTCGCCCTCGTTTCACTACACATTACCTTTGTTATTTCAAGGGTAGTTGTTTCTGAAAAGGAAAACCCCAACTTTGCGGACACCCTGTATATTCATAGTGCTCTTCAAATTTTAATTTACTGTCTACGTATAAGCCCAAATATTCAAATGACTCGATTGACACAATTTTTTCATGATTAATTGTAAGATTATTTTGATCTAAAGATTTTTCTATTTTGTTTTGTTAGCGTTTAGTTTAAGTTTATTCACATTTAACCAATTTGTTGCGTTTTTCATATTCTTATTTAACAGCACTATTGCAGTTCCAATGTCTATATTTGATATTATATATTAATGTATCATCAGCAAATAGTTGAATTTTGCAGTGTTGTTCTATTGATTACATAATTTTATAAGTTGAATACTGAACCTTGAAATTCATAGTAATGCAATTTCGTTAACAATTTCTGCCTATAAATAGTCTCAAATGGTCTCAGAATAATGTTACTGTAAACTCTTTTTCATCTATATTTCGTCTCCATTCTTCTACTACCATTTGAATTGCTGTTTCAGTAGAATACTTTTTTCTGAATCCTGCTTGAAATTTTGTCAATATCTTATTTTCTTCAATATATTCAATGACTTGTTTATATATGATTCCTTCTAAGAGCTTCCCGTTGTTTAGTTTTAGAAAATGTTCACATCATGCTTGCTGATGGATAATGCAATGGTAACATAGAAATTGCGGAAAACTTTCATCTTCACGACATAACCCCACGAGACTCTTGTCTACTATGTTCGATATTGGAATTTTCTCAGAAGAAATAGTATTTTTAAAAGAAGAAAACAAGTCCTGAACAGTAGTCTGTCCTTTTAGTGGAATAAACTCCAAAATATCTTTAATCGTAAAATCACTAAAAACCATTCTGACGAACACGGCCATCTGAGAGGTGTCAACGACATCTGTGGATTCATCTAGCTGCAGTGAAAAATAAGCACAGGTATCGAAGTCATTTCTTAACTGTAAAACTATGTCATTGCTCAGTACTTCTACTCGTCTCATCACTGTATTAGCAGAACGTTACATCTGGTCTTTATTTCTAAAGTTGACAAATAATGAATCTGCAGCTTCTAAAAACGCCTGTTTTATCATTTCCCCGTCTTCATAAGGTTTCTTCTTTTGTGTAATTATCTGGGACACTCGGTATGACGCTTCAGCAGCAACCTTACTTTTGTCGATTGTTTTTAAAAACATCGTCTTTTGTCCAATTAACTGATTTTTTAATTGTTTCAGTTTTCCGTTCTGGTTGCAGAATTTAATGGGAATGATGTTTCAAAAATTGGAATTGCGGGCCAACTCTAACCCAACCACTGGACTCTGTGTCATTCAGTTCTAAACTGAGCGCACTGTCGCCGCGCCGTACCTATTTATTCCGTTCAAAGTAATCAAGGTCGCTCTCGAACAGATCGCTCATCGCAGCGTTGCCGCTGCTTGTGTTTATTATGAGAATTTACAACATTTACCGAAGCTTGTATGGTTTTTATACCTTTTTAAAAGAATATGTTGTGAGCTTCCAGAAGTGCCTTTGAGAGCTACCGGTAGCTCGCGATCGACGGGTTGGCGACCATTGCCCTAGGATGACGAAACTACGACTCGCTGTGTATAAATCAAACTATGTTGAATGCAATAGATTCTTGATCATTACAGCAAATGAAAACATATTTTGAAAATTACAAATTCTACAAAATAAATCTATGAGAATCATTTTAAGTAAAAACAAATATACTAGGATTTAGTTTATGCTAGAAAAACTTCTGTGGTTGAAAGTAAAATATTTCATATGTCATTTAGTTCTCATTTCCATATTCAAATTGAAAAATCATTAATTACCACCACATTTAGAAAACTTCTAAAAATTAAATAGTCATTATCATAACTACGAAACAAGAGGCATTATAGATTTTCATTTGTAAAATTGTGATAGTAGCATAACTAACAAATCCGTATTTCAAAAGGAGTATTTGTATTTAATAAATTGAATAATGATATTAAACTGTGTTTGAATTTAAAAATGTGTGTGGTGATATTAAAAAATCACCTTATGAGTACTCAAAATGCATAGTGACGTAATTTTAATATACAAGTCTGTAAAATTACAGAAAATGCATTCAAAAGAAGTGTAAATAATTATACAAAATTGACATTGTAGCATTAATACTAAATAAATCTTCAACAAACAAACAAAATTCGACGTTTCCACCAGTTATTGGTTTAATAAACTGTTAGTGGTGTAATTAAATAAATGAATGAAGAGTGTGTATAGTACCATATACATCAAACACTCTTACAGTTGCGGTGTGACAACTTGTCTAGGTGTGTACGGGCATTAAGACGTTTAATAGATGTCTGGTGAGATTAACTTCGAAAGTTAAGACGGGTATCACGTATCTTGAAAAGTGACATTATGCCGATTTTTTTTTTGACACTAGGCTGTTTTTTGACATTATGTAGGTTTTTCTACAAGATAACTTTAGCAACGATTAACTTAGAATTTAGTTGTACGTGCTGACTAAACCTCATGAGGCTTATTATCAATCTTTGGCTCTGATCTGATGTGATGTAAAATCTGGTTCTGAGATGGCATTACTGGAGGTATAAGCTGTAAGTTGTATGTGTTGATGATAATTACATTGGGTTCTTGTTTCAAATATACTTAATTGAGATTCAAAGCTAGAAATTAGTTGCGCATCCACTTTTCTTATCCATTCTATAATGCGATATCCTGTATTAAATTGGATCAATTGTTCACTGAGAAGCAGTTCTTTTCCTGAAAATTTGAAATGCTCTACAATAACACCAGTTCCCAAAATAAAAAATTCTAAAAGATGCAGCGATACGAGACCAGTAAATGTGTTACCAGACATTGAAAAATTATTAGAGTCCATAGTGCATGAGCAATTAATGCAGTTTATAGAAGAAAACAAAATTTTAGTGGAGGCGCAAGCAGGCTTTCGAAAAAATATTCGACAGAAACGGCTTTCCAGTTGGTAACTGAGAATGGAGAAGAGCCATAGACTCAGAAGAAGTTGTCATAGCAGTATTTTTGGATTTGAAGAGGGCATTTGAAACGATTGATAGAGATATTTTGTGAGGTAAATTGAAGGGATTTGGTATAACAGGAAGTGTTTTAAATTGGTTAAGACATTATTTGTCTAAAAGGATGCAAGTTACAAAAGTTAATGACACTACTTCATCAAAAATTGAAAATACGTTGGGTGTTCTTTAGGGCAGTATCCTGGGACCACTTCTTTTTATTTTATACATAAATGATTTACCTGCCATAGTCAAAAAATGCGAAATTTAGATTTTCGCCGATGACACTATGATTTATATAAGTACTAAAAATATTCAGACTGGTATCTCTTATATACTCTTATATAAATGAAGACTTGAAACTTGTCTCAAAATGGTTAGCATCTAACAGACTAAAATTAAATACAAGCAAAACGAAAGCCTTGTTAGTCAAATGTTCAACTGAATATTGATGGTGAAGATATTGAATTCGTAGAAAATTTTTGTTGACTCTCGATTAATTTTTGATATTCATTATGAAAAAGTTATAAATAAGATTAGTAGTAAAGCAGGATATTTATCGAGAGTTTCTGGATGTCTGAGTTCATATAGCAGAAAAATTATCTATAATACCATCATTCTTCCAAATTTCTTGTACTGTTCGACTATTCTATATTTAGCAAATAATTCCATTTTTGAAAGACTGCAAATTTTACAAAATAAGTGCATGAGAATAATACTAAATAATGATAAATATACTCCAATTAGGCAAATGCTTAGCAAATTACAATGGCTCAATGTAAAAAAGTTTATCAAATATCTTGTAATGATATTCATTTATAAAGTAAAAAATAATATATTTCCATTAGTCTAACTAATTTAACATCATCAAATGTCAACCATCATTTACATAATACCAGAAATAAAGATGACTTCCATTTAATGACCAAAAAGTATAACATATGCTACAAATCTGTATTCCATCAAGGGTTGATTGAATATAATAAATTATACTCAGAGATAAAAGACCAGAAAACTTTGACAAAATTTAAAGTAAAATTGAGAAATCACTTGTTAAATCTACAATTATAGGTTGCCCAGCATTTACATCATACACCATATGGCTTGAATTTACTAGTTCTAAGTTGTTTACAATTATTCTGTTTATGTAGCCAAATGTGCTAAATAAATTTTTCTACTACTACTACTACATATACAAATTTGCTGAATTTCAAAAATGAAAGAGATAATTAAATTCACTGCACACTGTCGAATTACAAGCCATATACATGCTAACAGTAATTACACATAACGCGGGCGCAGTGATGATTTCCCGTAATTCTCCTCAGTTTTACGTAATCTATAGCTTTGAACATAACCTCTCTTCAGAAAGCACAACATATAAACACACAGCCAATAGATATACTTCATTGGCAGCATATTCGATCTTGCTAGTCAACCAACTTTCTTCTCAGAGATAAAAGCTACAGACAAGGACCATTTGGCCTCACAAAACATATGCAACCAATAATGCGTGTAGTTTAGTTGAGTGATTCCTCCTTAGATGGACGTTCACAACGATCCTAGTGAGCAAACGTGGAATGACTGTTTGCGCCCTAAAAACTACCTAGTCTGCATGTTGACATCTTATAGGTTTTTTTTGACGTTTTATATAGTTTTTACATGATACTCGTGCGGGAGTAGTGAATCTTGTCGGGTGGATTAAACGTCAGAGCTCGGTAAAATTAACTTGACAAACATATGTGGTAAACACCTGTGACCCTCACGCGGTTGACACTGATAATAAGTTCTTTTGGCTGTGTTGGACAAGGCAGAATATCAGGACGCTAGCATATAAAACTACTGTCTTTCAGAGAAGAAGTTCCACGTTTCTTTGACTTTTTCGAAACGCTCTATTTATTCTATTACTTTACACTTCCAGAGTTCAAACACAGGCCGCCTCAAGTTCAACGACTTCAAGGACCTAATGTGCAGTCTGAAGTCTTGGCAGACGGCTTTCAAAAACCACACCAAGGAGAAGACAGGCATTTTGAAGGCTGAAAGATTGCGCGACGCGCTGCTCGAAGTCGGATTCCAGTTGAGTAGCGACGTCTTGGCTACACTCATCCTAAGGTACATGAGGAAGGATGGCACGCTTAGGTTCGGCGATTTCGTGTCTGCTATACTGCATCTGACTGTCTCGTTTAGTAAGTATGATTTATGCCTCACAGTGTACTAGATATCTATCTAATATCTAAATATTATGCTGCTTTGCAACATGGAATTCAAATCTAGATATTTACTGAACGGAAAGAGATATCGAGTTGCGGTATTTGCCAGGCTCTTGACCAGCTCTTTGATAACATGTAGAGAGTTCGACCGGTATATTTCTCTTATTTATCCACTTATACAGAGTGAGAAAGCCAAGTCAGATTTTTTTAGCATAGTTTGGGGTTATGTCAGATTCTCAATTTTTGATCTTGGAAATTTTTCTACGCATCTTTTTGATCTTTGGACTATCCTCAAAAGTGATATCTCAAATTTTTCGAATGTTGGATATAACTCAGATTATCGAATTTTAAAAAAGTGTTATATTTAGCCCTAAAAAGGGACCCTTTTGGGGTTTTTCTTGAGAATGGGTATTTTTTCTCATGCTTCTGCATAAAGTGGAATTTTTTGCGCCCAAGAAGAGATTGAAGCACTCATCGAACGTTATTGCCTCCAGTGGCGTGCAGTAAAAATTTGCTACTTTGACATTATGTAATTTTATCCGAATTTATAAATTTAGTGTGGATGTTTGTTCAGTTCCTGAATCACGAAAAATATTCAACTTTATGGATCTTTGGATATCAAAAGACCTGAATGGTTTTGCGGGAATATCAATCTAAGGTGCCATAATGGTTCTGATGAACGGCAAGTAAATGAATGAATGTTTGGAAACGAGCAATATCTATGAACTTTTTGGTAGAACCTGTCATCAAGTAGGAGCTTAATGGCTATCTGCAAGAGGTTTATAGGAAAAAAAAACACGGGAGGTGATGTTAAATCAGTAAAATTGCATATCAATTGAAGAAAATAATATACTAAGTGACATATAAATCCGAACACCCAGTTTAAATGGTTTTATTTTAATAAAATTTTGTATAAGTACTTAATGAAGCATAATAAGTAAATGATAAAAATTTCAAAATGATTGCACTGCTTTAAAGCCCTTTGACCTTTAATAATGTGTGGATGCACCCTGATGTGCTACGCATTCTCCAACGCGCCTAGGCATGCTTCTGATCAGGTGGTCAATGTCCTCCTGTGGTATCTCATTCCAGGCAACCACCAACTCCTCTCGAAGTGCTTCTAGAGTCTGAGGAGGACGTTGCAAATTGAGCAATCTCCTACCCATCATATCCCACACGTGCTCAATTGGGGATAAGTCGGGAGATCTTGGTGGCCATGGTAACAATGTGACATCATTATGTTGAAAGAAGTCTATTGAGACTCTTGCAACATGTGGTCGGGCATTATCTTGTTGGAAAGTTGGATCTGCCAGGGTGTCAAGATAGGGTAAAAGATGGGGTTCTAGAACTTCGTGGATATAACGCTGCGCGTTCATGTTACCTCTGGTGAAGATTAAAGGTGCCCTGGAACCATAAGCTATAGCACCCCAAACCATAACTCCAACAGTGTGATGAACATGTCTTTCAACAAAAAACTGTGGATTCCTCATTTCACCACGTCGCCTTCTAACCCTGGCACGACCATCGTGCATGCCTAAACAAAATCGATATCCGTCACTAAAGACAATACTGTTCCATTCCTGATCCCAGAGTGACCGTTGTCTGCACCACTTAAGGCGATTACGTCGGTGTTCTTGAGTTAAAGGGAGGACCCAGTGTGGCCGGTATGAAAACAAGCCAAAACTTCTCATTCGTCGGTAAACACTTCGCATGCCAATAGGTCTTCCGTGTTCTGCAAACCATTCATTTGCAATGGACCTGGTAGTGGAGAAACGGTCCCTTAAGGCCAATAATCTTAGGCGGCGATCTTCACGGTCTGTTATTCTACGGCGGCGTCCAATGCCCCTTGCTCTTTGCGACAACACCTAACCACAGTGTCTACACTTCTTTGCACTCTAACTGCAATTGCCCGAAAAGAAAGTCCAGCTTCCCGAAGTCCCACTATACGGCACCTATCAAACTCACTAAGTTGACGAAATCGTACAGGTCTCCGTACTCTAGGCATCGTACCCGATCGTAAAGGATGTCAAGAACCAAAATCCGCCAACGTTGATTCTTTACTGAGGCTGAAATACTCATTTTTAGAGCGTTAGTGAATTAAAAAAAAAGCAGTATAAAAACCGGAATGTCCAACTGATAAGGCTGAAAATTTTTTCACTTGTTATTTACAGTAAGATAAATACATTCACCAACTTTTATTAAAATAAAACCATTTAAACTGGGTGTTCGGATTTACATGTCACTTAGTATATAAACATGAATAAAAAATCAACAATAGTAAAACATGAATTTAATTGAAAAATCAAACATTTCTTTAAATTATGACTGAATTATATGTAATTTCTTAAAATTCAATAAGCTGGTGATGTTTCAATGACAAGATGTCATCTCATACTTTGACAGTATTTTGTTTTCAACATTTCATAGCTATTGGTTTGCTAAAATTTGATGATTGGAACTTTAAGCTCATTCGTTGTATTTAACGGACTGTTGATTTGACAACCTTGGTGAAACCCACCCTAAATTTTATATACTAATATGAACTAATAATTCTAGGAAACAAATACTAGGATACGTTTTATGTTTGTATAAATTATTTAATTCATACTTTATAAACGACTTATATGGTGCTTCTATTTCAGATATATTTGAAGCGAAGGATCCTCTTCAAAATGGAAGTATCAAAATGAACTTAGCTGAAGTAAGTACATCGATGCTTTTGGCAATGTTAATATGATTGTTTTCTAAGTAGCAGAATTCCTTTAGGGGATTTCATCTAAGAAGGTTTACAATTATTCATGTTGAAAAACGCATTTTTTGAAATCCAGTTATTTTTTTTATCACAAATTACTTGCGTGCATTTTACGGAAATTATCAGTGTCAAGAAGCTTATTCTGCTTTGATTTTTACAGAGGCAGCACTGGTAACTTATGACTAACTACTTTGACTTCCTTTAAGAACGCCATTACTGATTAAGGACTTTCATTTTTTATTCAGACAACTTGAAATTCTGTTTTAAGATTCTTGAATCTTTGAGTTCAATTTACTTTTCGACATTTTTTTATTCGCCAGTAGAGAAGTAAATAAGTCTTGTAGTAATGAAACAACAAAGATATAAGTTATAGAAATATACACACCATACTGATATGCGAAGCTTTTTGGAGGAAGATTTTTCAACACTTTTTTTAACATTGTGAGGTATAGTTTATGGCAAATTTATGCTCAGTTTTCCGTGCCGTTATTCCAAACAAATACATGCGCACACAATACAGGGTGTCCGCAAAGTTGGGGTTTTCCTTTCCCTTGAAATAACAAAGGTAATGTGTAGTGAAACGAGGGCGACCAAGTAAAAAACAATAAAGGAAAAAGTACTCACTCTCCAGTTGACGAGAAGGGCTAAGTACGTCTCTGCCCGAAATCATACCGCTCCAACAGAAAATGAAATCAGCTGATGCGCTACCGAGCAGACGCAGGCAAACAAGGAAGGCAAAATGTTGCGTAAAAAGTCTAGGTATTGCATCCCGTCCAATCGATTTGGGAGAATAAATGGTCCAATGAGCATACCGTTCACCATGCCAGCCCAAACATTCACCGAAAATGTTTGTTGAAAATGTGCCCGACGGACAGCGTGCGGACTTTCTACTGACCAAACATGAGTGTTCCGAAAGTTATTCACCCCATTACGCGTGAACGTAGATTCGTCTGTCACCAATATGCACTTCAAAAAGTCCGGATTATTGTCATGCTGATGCAACAACCACTCACAAAACCGCACTCTTGCTGGAAAATCGTCAGGTTGAAGGGCGTGTACACGTTGGACGTGAAACGGATACAGGCCCTCTTCACGCAGCGTTTGCCACACTTTAGTTTTTGATACTTGCACTTCTCTAGCCACGTCTCTAGTGCTTGTTGAGGGATTCTCGTCTACGCGATTACCTCTACACGCGTGACCGTAACCGTCGGTTGAAGGTTGCATACTGACTTGACACACTGACCCCGACCCAGTTCTGTCGTCGGGTTGAGCTAGTGTCCTAGTACCACTCGGGGATATTGCAGAGCCCTTTATCTCGGTTCCCTTAAGACATTGGTGTATATGGTACTAAGAAAAATTGCTTATGTTTTCAAGATGTACACGTCGTGTAAAGGAAAACCCCAACTTTGCGGACACCCTGTATTGTGATGTCATTTGTTTTAGAGTACGATCGTGGAGATAAAATTAACTTTAATAACTTGGGTTTTCTTTTTTCAGTGGCTGAAGTCATCCCTAACCTGCTGATACATGTTTATTATTTAAGCGAAAACTCTTTGTAAATACTCATTCTCAAATTGTATTTGTTAAAATGTAACATACATTATAAAACATAAAAGTTATCAATACTTAAGGCTGTTATTCTAGCTCGCTATTCCCACTTTATTTAGTATATGATGGGTGAGTAGAAAAAAATAGCGTCAGGTAGATTGATTTCAAAGAGAAGGTATGAGTCAAGTCGCTTCAAAAGGCGGAATCGAGTCGTGATAGAGATTATGCGTTGGGGTGGTACTCTGCATGCCTCTTGTAGTTTTGATTATGCTTCTCATCGTAGACATCGAGCTCTACTACCATCCACAACTCGTTGGACGATCAAACTGCGGAAAAGCGAACGTATTAATATCGTTACTGTCACCTGAGAATGGACTCTTCTTTGGAAACATCTATACTTTTCCCACGCTGGATTGATCGAAAACCACTGATTGGAAGAAAAAACGCCGAGACACGTCACAAGATTTGTCAACGGGGCTAACTTTTTAACCAAAAACTGCTTCACCCCATTTCACCCTTGGCCCGTCAGGGTCATTATCTTGAAAATTTCAAATGACAAGAGGTATCGAGTAATAGATTGTTTAAAAAGTATTTCGATGTCCTTTATTTTGACGTATGAACAACTCCCGCACATCCACGGTCCTGGGGGCAGAGTCTTCAGGACAGAGGTCAAGATCGGGGTTTTCGCTGTTGCTATGGAACGACAGTTCTCTCCCAACTATGATCTTGATAATGATCTTGACGATGAGCAACAAATTGTAAGATTCGTCTGGAGATACATATTTTAGGGCCAACGGCGTCAGTGATCCCGCCACCGCCATTAGTGACTCTTCCTCAGGAGATTCTTTTTCGGAAGATTTTTCAGCTGAAGAGTTGCACAGCACATCAGCGGCTTCTCCCGAGATCCCGCATTGCACACCAGCAGAGCTTCAAGGTCATATTAATGCCTCAAAGTGCGTAAAGCGCCTGGGGAGGATCAAATCACTAATAAGGCGCTGAAGTTGCTTTCACGGAAGTCCTTAACTTATCTCGTGACTATTATCAATGCCATGCTAAGGACCCAGTACTTTCCATCGGCGTGGAAGACTGCGAAAGTTATAATGATTCCAAGGAAGGTGGGTTCGATATTTCCCAGGACTATCGTCCCATCAGCCTACTGCCTGCTCCGTCTAAGCTCGCTGAAAAGGTGATTCTACGTCAGCTTGAGAATATCTCGTCAGATCACCATGTGATTCCTGACGTGCAATTAGGATTTCGGTCTGGGCATAGTACGGAGTTACAGGCGGTTGGGCTTGTGGAGCGAGTAACCAGGGGCTTCACTCTTAACGAAAGTACTGGCATCTTGCTTCTGGATGTCTCGAAGGCATTTGACAAGGTGTGAAACAAGGGCCTTCTCTATAAACTAATTCAAAAGGACTTTCCCTTTTGACCCCTAAAATATTTGAAATCCTTCCTTGAATGTAGGAAGTTTTGGATCAAAATTAATAATTTGAGAGCCGGCGGCCGTCAGGGTTCGGTTCTAGGGCCAATCCTCTACTCACTTTTTACGCATGATGTCTCTTGCCCTAGCGACTGTGAAGTCTATCTATATGCTGATGATACTGCACTGGTGGCCCAGTCGCGTACCGGGAATCTGGTTCACAACAGGTTACAAAGTGCGGTGGTGACTAATCAAAATTAATTACTCGAAAACGTAGGCTATCTATTGTACTAAAAAACGTAGCGGCGCCCCACCTGAGGTTTCAGTGAATGGAGCTCGCATACCATGGGGAAATTCTGCTATACTTACTCGGTGTCACTCTTGACAGAGGGATGACCTGGCAGAATCACAGTGAAGCGTTAAAAACTAAATTCCAAATTACGTTTTGGCAAATCTACCCTTTACTATGTAGAACCTCAAAATTAGGTTTGGTTAACAAAGTTCGGCTATACAAGATTGCTATTAGAGCAGAAATTACTTACGCATGTGCAGCATGGTGTTTTCTGGACAATGCGTAATCTACAGGTTTTGCAGAACAGAGCCCTGCGAACCGTCACCAACGCAAATCCATTCCCTAAGAGACTACATCAAACATCACGCGCAGTTACATTATAGTCGAGCTGAATCGCACAGAAACCCTCTGTTGCGTGAGTCAGTAGACTACACAGTCGAGTAAGTTCGCAAGCACACAAGACCGCGGCTCGCACCGTGATCAAAATCAAATCGTGGAATTCTAGATCCAAAGAAAATTACGATTTTTGCCACACACAAATTCCTAAATTAATTTTTGGATTAATTTAAAATAACCGAATACCAGTTAACAATAAAAGGCATCCCTTTGACCGGCGCACTTCACCCTCTTTGCTCTTCCCCCTTCCTTCCTTTCTTTCTTCTTCCTCTCTTTCTCCCTGACTTCGTCTGCTATCTGGTCAAGCAGACCTGGCAGACCTACTGATGTACGATACTTTAACAAAGAGCGAAGGTCCCACGGACCGCTCTGACGGACAATGACAGATAGAAGAAATCATGGCAGCTTTCGGTGATGCGTGGACGAAGTTCATCCAAACTTACAGCTTGGGGAGAAAACAATAGATTCATGTGGCCCCATAGAAAAAATCCTAATGGCGTCAAATAATGAGATCTAGCAGGCTATTCTATAGGGCCTGTTCGTCCTATCCATTTATCTGTAAACTCGTCGTCTAGCCATTGCCGAACCAGAAGAACATAGTGAAGAGGAGCGCCGCCTTGCTGGATATATATTGCAGCCTCATCAAGTATAGGGTATCGATCTTCGTCGATTTTGTTTTCAATTAGCTTCTCGTTGGATACCCCACCCGTTGACTGAAGGTTAATAATTGGTGTCAAAAAACGCTTGACCGTTTCAATTCCGCAAACCCAAAAAATGTGTATACTTTATCTGAAGTCACTTGAACTTGAAACACTGTGAAATACCGGGTGCGTTTTATATATCTATATTTAACACGCTCTGTTGCTGCAAAAATCGCCAAATTTCGCAGCAAATATCCCCCGTATAAGATCAAAGGCAGTTTCACCGGTCCACGTGGAGTAAAGCACGCGTATGCGTGGACATAGCCAATGAGAAAGCGTGTATTTCAGAGCTCCGAACAAGTGCAGGTGGCTACTGAAAATTGAAACAGTTTAGCCAGTGCCGTGTAGCGGTGAATAAATGTGTTTTCTTTAGTCTGTCCGTGTTTTTTCATAGATTTTATTAGTTTGTGTGTTTTTGACTTTTGAATACTCAGTTCACTTGTTGATTTAATTGTTGTGTTGATTGTTCTTGTGTGTCCTAAATATGGTTCTTTGGAGACCTTGGGAAAATGCTCCAAGCCACGAGGAGATGGTTGATGAACCTGTGCAGGCAGAATTCTTTCATAAAGATTTAGAGGAACAGACCCAAAGAGTAATCCTAAATATGTATGATTGTCTGAAAAACGAAAATCCAGATTCCTCGCAAAATCAAATTTTAAGCAGAATTTGTATCCTGACAAAAATCAGTCGGTCTACCATTTATCGGGTTCTAAAAAGGGGAGATGTAGTCAACCATTCCTTCCACAGAAAGCGCATAGGGCAAAAATTAAAAAGAATAGACGTGGGTTTTCAGGAAGATATTCGGATTTTATAAAGAAAATTTGGTGCCCACGTTGGAAATGATACGGGATAAATTAAAAGATTATCCTGAAGATTTTTATAATTACAAATGCTTAGACTCACTGCACTGTATTGTAAAACTGTGTAGTTTTCAATACAAAAAAATTGATAAAAGAATGGTGATTATGGAGTCGTCTCGAATCGTTGAATTGCGCCAAGAATTTTTGCACAAAGTTAAAATCTATAGAGAGCAGAAAAGAAATCTGATTTACCTGGATGAAACGTGGTATGATACCCATGATGTTTTGCAGTACTGCTGGGTTGACGACAGCAACAAGTGCATTTTAAATGCACCATGCAACCGTGGAAAACGAATCATTATTCTCCATGCTGGCAGTGAAAATGGATTTATACCTAATGCCTTGCTGTTATCTGCCAAAAATATCAAAGAATCATGTGCCGACTATCATGAGGACATGACCTCCGACTTATTTGAAAAGTGGATAGAGCAGCAGTTAATACCAAACATTTCCCCAAATTCAGTGATTATTATGGACAATGCGCCATACCATTCCCGACAGAAAAACAAAATTCCGAATACAGGCACAAAAAAACAAGACATTATTGATTTTATGAAGGATAAGGGAATGGAAATACCACAAAAATCAACCAAAGCCATATTATTGGATCTTATTAAAAGACAAAAATTTGAAAAAGAGTATGTTGTTGACAATCTGCTTCAGCAAAATGGCCATGAAGTATTACGTCTACCTCCCTATTACTGCATTTTTAACCCGATTGAGTTGGTCTGGGCTGCTTTAAAAAAAAAGTAAGAAAACATAATCAGACCCCTCAATTAAATGAATCGCTATTGGCCACAATAAGAGATGCAGTATCTCATATTGCTGCCACAGACCTATGGAAGCAGTGTTCTAGGCATATTATTGAAAAAGAAAATGAATATTGTGTTTTGCCTCCTGTAAATCCCGTTGTAATTCCTCTACAAGATGACTCTAGCGACAGCTCCGAAGGCGAGGATGATATATAAATACCTATAATGTAAGTCTTTATATACCTTTTTATATACCTACCTGCTATGTAAATATTTGCCTATGTCAAACGTTGGAATTCTGTAATTTTTCCATTTCTTAACTTTCAGTCAACATAAATTAAACTCCCAATATAAGTATTTTTATCCCAAATCAAAAAAATAAGAAGATAGTATAATCCATTTATTGTGATATAAAAACATTAGTATTATCGTTCTAAATAAATGACCGCACGCCTATGATACGTCATGAAATTACAAAGGACGCGCCGACCAAAGGTTTTTATGCTATTTCAAGTGATTTCAGATAAATCATGCAGCATTGTTAGTGGTGATCAATCGTGGATTTACTGTTATGAACCAGAAAATAAAATAAACGACAGTCGGCTGTTTGGGTTTTCCAAGGTGAAGAAAAACCAACAAAAGTCATCCGTTCTCGAGGTGTTTCGAAACAGGTGGTCGCGACATTTGTGTCAAAAGTGGGTCACATTGCAACAATTCCTCTTAATGAGCAAAGAACTGTTACTGCGGATTGGTATACCACCATTTGTTTGCCAAAAGTCATCACCGAACTTCGAAAAATCAACCCCGAAAGAAGAATCATCCTCCACACAGCCCAAAAAACAAGGCAGTATTTAACGGAAGAAAAGTGGAATTATTGGACCATCCTCCATATAGTTCCGATCTAAGTCCTAACGATTTCTTTACTTTCCCGAAAATTAAAAACAGACTGCGTGGTCAAAGGTTCCAGTCACCAGAAGCTGCAGTTGGAGCATTCAAAAATGCCGTTTTGGATCTGCCAGCAAACGACTGGAATAAGTGCTTCGAAAATTGCTTCGAGCGCATGTAGATGTATATTAATCTTCGTGGAGAATACTTCGAAAAACAATACAGTCATTTAAAACTACCTACCGTGTTGTTTTATTTCCATATGTAAAACTTAAAAGACAACATATCATGAATAGATGTTTCAGTTGTAATATCAATAGGGTCGGATGAACATATGGTAACGTGTTTTAATAAAACAGAAAAAAAACATAGTCAAGAACCAAGAGAATTTTCTTTTCCTCTCAAACTTCACTCCACACTTCTTGTTTTGGTATATTTACTAAATCCCATGCAAAGACTGCCGACACTTACTTCTTGACTTAGGTTATCGAAATGATAATTAGTTGGGATCCATTTTGAACATTTTAATAAAATCACTTAAAAAATATACAATTATTAATCCGTATTCAAAACTAGACACACTCCTTGTAATACCCAGTGACTGCTGTGCTCTGTGGTCCTGAGATCCGCCTCAAAAACTAACCCAACACCCATTGCGTTCCTCCTCAGCGAAGTGGTGTACACTGGTGTCCTGAGTGTGTTCTGTAATTTTAGTCTGTACGCTTCGATCGGAACCACTCCTAGGACCGGTAGTTTTTCGATAAGCACTTTTGGAGTCGATCTCTTCAGGCAGTTGTTCTCTATATCCCACGCGGCGCCTTCTAGGTAAAGGCCGTGTAGCAGACAGTTTCCCTGTGAATTATAAAATACTTTATAGTCTAAGGACGATTTTCATTCTTCAAAAGTACCTGTATTCGAGTTCTTAACCGTTACCATGGAAATTCAAGAATTTGGTCGTGGGATGCGAGTTTCAAAATGCCCGGGTATTTTTGATTGATACGTAAACGGGTTCAGGATTAATAGTATTTTTAATTTCCACTAAAAACCTATATGTTAGCCTTTTTCGACCTCCGTCTAGAATTTCATGAATACCCTTCGGAGCTAAAAAATACAGCTTTTGTTGATGCATAGGTCATATTACATCTACAGAATACTGAATAAGTTACCTAGATAAATACGCATTATTTTCTGGAGAATACGATTATTCAATCTCAAGTAAATGAATTGTAGAACTCGCGCATGGTTTACAAATAATGGAGTTTTTTAGTTCACGGCGAAATATCTTCACTTTGTGGATCCTTTTGATGTCATCAGGGAGGCACATATAAATTTTTTAACCATTACAGATGATTGAATCATCCACAGGTATTGATTTAGGTACTACTAATTCAATATCTTGTTTTCGTTTAATACCGTAACTTATACTTGAGATTTATTTTTGAAAATAGGAGTTGCTGCTTCTACAGTGAACAATGATACAACACTCATTATTTTAAGATTTAAAAATATAGGCCTGCATGTAGCTCTTTTGTACAGTAAGCACGTTTTTTAAAACAAATTTCGGAATAGACATACCAAAAGGAAATGCTATATACTACTCTCAAATAAGGCAAAATAACTGACCAAGGCTGTGTTTTTCCCTAGGTTGTAACTGGCTGTTCTTATAATAAACGAAATGTTTGCTAGTTGAGTGAGCCATTGGTCTACATGATTAGTAAAATTTAATTTATGGTTCGAAATTCTCGGGATCCTTTCGCACCGGAGAGCCTTTGGCGATCTTGCACCGCTACGCCAAGGACTTTGGCCCTCACATCCTAAGCGTGTCGAACTTCGTACATCCAGAACTGGCCGATACGACCGCTCCTTTGTCCATAGGTTGTCGAGATTGTAGAACAATCGAGAAAGGACGCTTTTTCCAGTTCTACCAAGCTTAGATAGTTCAAAAATCGGAATAACCAAGATTCTGTGGAATCCTCATAGCAGCCGCGGTGCCCTGGCTTCTGCCTGTGCGGCTGCTTCGGTGTAAAAGAAACGGTGAGTCCTAAAGATTTGATGCTGTATGTTTTGTGTATCAAATCGTTATTTAAATTTATGAAATCAAGGTAGTATCTAAGTGTTATTTTGGTCTTAGCAACATTGAAAGTTAAGTGTTATCACACCGTTTTTTGATTGATTATGCACTTAATGATATGCGAATATTTAAGGATGTGAATCTACATGAAAAATTAATGTCAGTTTGCTTTATAAAGTATGGTTCAAAAATGTTTCCTTACAAAAACTCGGGTTGCTGAAGTTTTAGGGAAAAAATGCAAGTTAATTAATATTATTAGAACCGCTTCAGATATTTCACTGATATTCAGTACGTAGTAGAAGTTAATAAAGTTGCATATTTTCCAATGCAAAAATAATTTTTATCTTTAACAGTGGCGTGCGTACGGGTAATGACTTCAATATTTTTTAAGAAAAAATGGTACGCCAATAGCTTTTTGTCAAATAGAAATTATTTTTGAATTCCCCGTTCAATTTAAAACAAATGATCTCTCTTGAATTGTTTTTCTTTGATGGGCCATTTTTGAGTAAAAAAAAAAAAGCGTTCAATTGCCAAACTAGCAAAATTATTATTAATCTAATTGGGAAAATTAAACACATTAGGGGTAATGAACAACAACAACTGACAATATAAACTTAACATTAAAACCAACGAAATGATCACAAAAATTGTTGAAAATGGCCCCCTTCACTCAGCATGCATGCGTCCGCCTTCCTTCTCATGGAATTGCGCACTCGTTGAAACATCCCTGGAGTGTTTTTTATTCTATATCAAGCTGCAACTATTCTTTTTCTCAATTTCTCTACAGTGTTAATGGGACTTGTGTACACTAGTGACTTAAGATAGCCCCATAAAAAGAAATTTAAACTGTTGAGGTCTGGGGACCTTGGTGACCATTCTTGGAGCCCACCGCGGCCAATCCGACGATTAGGATAAACAGTTTGTAAATAATTACGAACAGCTACACTGAAATGCGCTGGTGCACCATCATGCATATACCACATATTGTTTCTTATTACTAACGGAACATCATCAAGCAGCAAAGGGAACTGTTGTTGGAGAAAATTGAGGTAAGTCTGTCCGTCAAGTCGTCCCGGCAAGAAGAATGGGCCAAGGAAGTGGTTGCCAATAATTCTTGCCAATACGTTAACCGAAAATTGGTGTTAGAAATGGGTTTCGGTTAAGGCATAGGGATTTTCTTGTGCCCGCAAATGATTATTGTGGAAATTCTGAATGGCATTTCGAGAAAAATTAGCTTCGTCCGTGAACAGAATCAAATTCAAATTGCGGATGTTGTGTAATTTTTTGAACATACCACTGACAACAGGTCATACGCCTTGGAAGATCAATGGGAAGTAATGCCTGTACTCTTAAAATATGGTAAGGATACAATAAAAAATCCACTAAAATTCTTCAAATAATTTGATGCAAATATTTAAGTGTCTAGCGATCTTCCTTGTACTCGTTTCAGGATGTTCTTCGACTTCGTGCAATACTGCTTCCTCAATTTCTGGTGTTCTCACACTTAGAGGCCTACCTTCAGATGTTTTTTTTACAGAACCAGTTTCAACAAGACTATGCTGAATATTAGAAAAGGTTCGACTATCTGGCAAAGCACGATCGGGATATCTCTGGTTATAAATCCGTCTGGCTTGCTCACCATTACCGTCAGCAAGGCCATATACGTAATGCATTTCCGCCATTTCTGCATTTGAATAATTCACCATTATTAACAAGATTGTAAAAACAAAATAATGAAAAAGATGTCACAGCGAACAGATTTGAATAACAGAGACTTGTCAGATGTCAAAAGCCAGTGACATATTCCAGAGCAAGTAGACATTTATTGCTAAATTGCATTCTTCAATTATTACTACATTAATTTTCTCGGACAATAGAACGATTCTTATTTTTTTTACTCAAAAATGGCGCATCGAAAGAAAGAAACTCAGGAGAGATCATTTGTTTCAAATTGAACGGGGAATTTAAGAATAATTTTTATTTGGCAAACAACTATTGGCGTACCATTTTTTTTTAAAATATCGAAGTCAATACCCGTACGCACGCCACTGCTAAAGCTAAAAATTATTTTTGCATTGAAAAATATGCAACTTTATTAACTTCTGCTACGTACTAAATATCAGTGAAATATCTGAAGCGGTTCTGAAAATATTAATTAATTTCCATTTTGTTCCTAAAACTTCAACACCTAGAGTTTTTGTAAGGAAAGATTTTTGGACCATAGTTTATAGAGCAAACTAACAATAATTTTTCACGTAGATTCACACGATTCAAGATTTACATATCATTGAGAAACCTCCTGTATATCACTGTCAATGTCATCTATATCTGTATCTTGTCAAAGTATTGCCGTATCGTCTGAAATATCTATGAATTTACTATTTATGTTTATTATCATTAAAATAAATTGAAAATAGAATCTGACCAGTACTGATTCATACCATACTTATTTTAATTTTTTCAATAGTATATCATGATTTGCACAATTACAGTATAGTTTTGGAAATGTCAATAAAAGCAGCAATTCAAATCTGCCTATCCTTTAAATTTGAGTATAAGTATTGGAGTAATGTGAAAATAGGATCCAGTATTTTTTTGTTTTTGAAAACGAGTATATCAAACCGCGGCAAATCCGGACACCAGCTTCATTAAGTTTAAATTAATAAGAAATGTCTGAGTTTATTTTTGATTGTTAACATGTTCGTTCTTTACAAAACCAGCTAGACAAGTGCAAGTACAAGCTGATGATGTTCCTTTAACATGAAAATAATCCAGATTTCAAGGAGAGTTGAGTTGTCTTCAAAGAAACCTCAGGCCTCATGGAAGGTGTATAAATCGTGTTTCCCAAAAACTACCTAGTGCGCCATCTTTGATATCGGTATTGAAACATCGAATGACTTTGATATTTACCAACTAAGTGAGTTGGTTATACGTCAATTTACTACAATCTTAGTCATGAATCGCTTTACTCGCCGAAATAGTCACAATGTACATTGAAAATCGTCGTTCAGTTGTGTTAACGAAACGTGCATATGGTGGACAATATCGTGGCAAACTGACAGCACTATCCGTCGTTTGGTTTAGAATTTTCTTGAGTACAGTGGGAGATCGTTAACATACCGTTCATCAACGACCAAGACGATCCTATGAATTGGTTGAAGCGGTCAGAGACAGGGTTGCCCAGAACCCAAAAGTGTCGTATCGTCACCGCGCTCAGCATTTTGGCATCAGTGGAACCACGTTGCGGAGCATTTTGAAGAACGATTTGCATTTGTTTCCTTATAAGGTGTAGTTAATATAAAAAATATTGCCAACTGACCGTCCACGTCGCTTGGAATACGCCCAAACAGTCGCTCGCATAGTTGATGGTGAACCTGATTTTTGGAGGCAAATTGTGATGACCGACCAGGCCCATTTCACGCTCTCTGGCAGCGTTCATAAGCAAAACTGCCGCATTTGGGGACGGATCCACATGAGATCCACGAAATGCCGTTGCATGACCGGAAAGTGAGTGTTTGGGCCGGCGTTTGCGTCAAAACCATAATTGGGACATTTTTTTTTCAACGAAATCGAAAGAGTCGATGGAAATCGATTTCGGTGGATATTGGCTCATTATGTCTGCCCACAAATGCGTAAAAAAGGTCTTGATGGTTACTGGTTTCAACAAGACGGTGCGCCAAGCCTCACTGCAAATGAAATAATCCAGTTTCTGCAACGAAAATTCCCTGGATGTCTGATGTCAAAAGAGGTGACATTCACTGGCCACCCAGGTCTCCAGATTTGACCCGACCGGACTTCTTCTTGTGGAGTTATTTGAAAAGTCAATTGTACGCCAGCAAGCCCCAGACCACTGAAGAACTCATGGCAAACATTCGTACCGCAATCGCCACTATACCACCAGAAAAAGTAATGGAAAACGCTGCAAAACGGGCACATTTTGTTTTGGCCAATAAAGGTGGCCACTTGATAGATGTTGTGTTCAAAAACTAGTCCCAATAAATTGTAAAGGACCATATATAGAAAACAGTTATTTCATGTTTACATGCCGACATAAAAGATAGTGCACCCTGTATATAGATGACATTTTTACCTGCGGTGGCCTTAAAATCACGTCCATCGGGTCGACATATTCAGTGACGTATGTGTATAACGTGGATCTGTCTAGCGGCCAGTTGTGAAGCCTGCAAGCGATTTGTACCAAAGCAGCCAAGTAAGTCTCCGGAATGTGCAGACCTGATATCCATAACACTGTCGGTTCTCCCGTTGTGGACTTGAAACAAAAACATAAGGCAAATGGATTGATTTTTTGACAATTTTCTTTTGCTAGACGATAAGTATACTCTTCAACTTTAATTTATATATATATATATATATATATATATATATATATATATATATATAAATAACTTGAGACGTGGTCATTGTCGTCTAGACCAGTTAGGTGAAAAATTAAAGCTTCCGCCTTTTGTTGGGTACTTCGACAAAGTTTAAGCAAAGAGGACTCTTTATACTTTTTTTAATTCTCTCTAGCTTTCAATGGACTTTGCCATCATTTTTTTTTATACTCCAACTCATCATCAGGAGCTGCAATTACAATGATAACAGTAGCAACAATAGTGTAAAATGAATTTAAACAATTCGTTTCATCTTTCTACACAGACATTGACAACCTTCGGCCTTCTGTCAAAGGGTTCATCTCACTCATTATTCCATGACCACCATTTTGTGCAATCATCAAGTGGCTTCACGATGTAATGCTTTCATGTTTTTTAAAAAAAATTTAATCTGTTTTTAACTTGTTCTTGTCATATTTTATATAATTTTTACCATTGAACCATCTATCCAGCTTTCACCATGTTACTGGGCGTTTCCCTCATCCTATACGTAAACAACAATTAGCAACATCCTCACATACTACTGTAAGTTAAGTCAATTTAAATTCATTTTACACTATTGTTGCTACTGTTATCATTGTAATTGCAGCTATTTTTAAAAAAAACCTTTCAAAATAATTTGCCATTTAATAATAAAATAATTCCGTCCTAATCATACCTCATCAGTCCAGTTTTTTATTCGTCGACTATGTGTTCCCTTTACTGTTGTTTTAAAAACAATTTCAGCAACAATCTCGCCGACTTACTCCAGACGATGAAGACATAGATCTTCGAAAGCTTGAGAGTTTAAGTTATAAGAATGTACTTGTGCAATACTTTGCCTTCTACCCAAAGAAATTAAAGGATATATATATAATTATTCTTGGTGGTCATCGTTTGGTTTGTTATACAGGGTGAATCAAAATAATATTTCATTACCCTAGCTTAGGACACTGTGATGTGACTCCGTTAGTCAATCAGACCATTAAATATCACAGTTTCCCTATAATTTGTATTTTATTCACGTCAATGTATGCATTGGAAGGACTTCTAATAATCTGTGGTCGTCAATCGACGAGTATACGAGGGTTGCTTCAAAAATAAGGTTTCCACATTTTTTGCAGGCACAAGGAGAAATTACCGCTAGGATTTTTATGAAATTTCCACATAAGGTAACTACTATGCCAAAGCTTTGTAGTTTCAGTCCAGCGGCGGGGGAGCTATAGGCAAAAAACTAAAAAAATCGCTGACGTTTCAGGGGTTCCTAATCATTGTCATACAAAACAGCAGTACTTAAAAAGTGAGGGTCATCTTTGATATGTGGAACACGTTCTATTATTAATAAAGCTTCTGAACCCAGAAATTTAAGTGACGAAAATCCAACGATATGAAAAAATCGGAACCTGCGTTATGAATTTGACGCCGAGAGAGAACAGAAAAGCATCTGCCGACAGGAAAAATTAATTCGGATATTTTTAATGGGGATTATTAGGAGCTAGATCGCCAGTCGGAATCCGACTTATTATGGAAATTTACTCACGCACGCACCCACAGTCATCCTGCACACGCGTCGCGGAAGCACGTGGTGGACGTTTCATCCACCTGTCGGTTCTACACTTTTATGAACGGCCTCTTTCTTGGGGGTCCAGCGCTGGGGGCTTTGACATAAGCCCCGCAGCCACAGTCATCCTATCCTTTTTTAAAACTAGTGCCAACGACCATCTAAGACCAGCCCACTGACGTTTCTTTTTCATCCCCCCCCCCCTTATCTCACGAGATGGTCCTCGTGATCCTGGGAGTCGTGTTAATAGAACACGTCTATAACAAACTTGATAATGGGGAACATTAGGTTCCTTTTTGAATTGGCTGATCTCATGTATGGAGGACAGAAAACTTAAAGTGAACCTTGGAAGTGCAGTATCCGATGTGTACCTTGTTGAACAGGGTATCCCACAGGGATCTGTATAGGGGACCACTTCTATTCAACTTATGTGTAAGTCATTTGCCCAGGCATATCTCTGAGAGGCATATAACTATGTTTGCAGGTGACACCAGAATTACTAAATCTGTAAAAAGTGAGCTTCATACCAAAATTCAACGTATATTGGATAAATTTACGTCCTGGTGCCAAAAAATCTGCTTATCCCAAATTCAAGTAAGACGATTCTAGTAAATCTTAACATCCATCACACAATTAATATAGAACTGGATATATGATGAGGTTCAAATTTGGCTGACATCGTAATGTGTACGAGAATATGATGTATATATATTAGAAAGAGCGCGCCGACGGCGTCTGTCACCTTGTCACTCGGATTGCTAGGCAACGAGGTGCTTCTATCTCTTTCTAACACACGTATTGCATGCTTCTCGAGCTTTTCTCTCGTACACATTACGATGTCAGTGGTATTTGGCTTTCAGTGTACACGACCTTCCTTACATTATATTCGTAAAAATTTAAGTAACGCGCAATTATGGTATGATGGCAATCATGTCAAATTGAGACAGTATTTGTGTCCCAAAAAAGAATAAGCAAATTGATTTTTGGAATGAAGCCTCTTGACCTCTCCAGATACATTTTTAAGTCAGGTGAAATTATTTATGTATATTTTGAATTGATTAAGCTATGTTAAGAAGTATAATAGTTTATTTGCAAATATCCATGCTCATCACGAATACGGCACACGGAATCAGAATACGAAAATAGGTCAAAAACATCCTGCGATCACCTAGATCAAAAAGTCCCCATATTACAACTGCGTCATATTATTCAACAAATCTGTAATTGTATTTCATTTAAAAAAGAAGTTCAGAAATTATTGAAGAAAAATAACTTTACTATATACTGAGTGCTTGGAATGTACGAACTTGTACTTAACTACATAAAGATGGTATGAATAGTTATTCATCCATCCATATGTATTGCTACATTTTATTGATCTTTATTGTCTTGTATTACATTTTTTACCACGCTATAAGTTTATCTTATAAATTATTTATTCATTTACATTTTTCCGAAAATCAGAAATCCAAAATGATGTTCATGCTAGGAAAGATATGGCCCAAGCCAGCTTACAACAAAGCAAACCCCAGTGAACATGATGACGCCAAAATGATGTCATTATTCGGTCACTTTTGGTCGGATACGTCATTGACTAAAAAATGACGTCTTTATTGACGCCAATTTTATGACAACAACAAGACGTCCTTTAAAAGGCTGTCATTTTGACGTCAGTTGGCACAGGTATTACGTATCTTAAAAAGTGACATTTCGACGGTTTTTTGGACAATTCGTAGGTTCTTCTACAAGATGTTAACTCAGCACAAGCTGTTGTACACTTGCGAACTCGTTTTGTAGCTGAACGTGTTGCTTAAACGTCAGCGAACATTAAAAACTACCTAGTCTGCAAGATGACATTTCGTTGAATTTTTTTGACTTTTTTTTGACTTTTACAAAATAGAGGCGCTGTACTGAAAAATAAACACTTTTTATATTATTATAAATTTACGCGTTTAATAAACAGTAAGGTAAACTAGATGTCCAAAAACTAATAACTACTTCATTGTAATTTTTCGACTAAAAATGTCTCGTTAGTATGACTTTTCTAATAATAGTATTAAATGTTCAGATATTTCAAATTGCCATCTTACATCATGTTTTATTACAAATTTATTAAAAAATCCTCTGTATAACAATAAACAATAAGTGTTTTTGCCTCCTGTGAAAAAACAAAGCGATTTTGATAAATTGAGTGTATGAGTTTTTACACCTTTCTATCATCCCTCAAATGACTGCTTGTGGGGCATTGACACATCCCCAATTTTTAAGGAACATTAAGATACACCGCGCAATTATTTTTATGAGCTACTGTACGTCATATCAACGTCACATAGACGTCATATCGATCTCAGATAGACGTCATATCCCCGTCATACAAACGTCATATCGACTTTGTATTTGGTCTTGTTTTACGACATACGAGGGATGTCTTTTAAGTTTTGCATATGCAAATAAAACAACACGGTAGGTAGTTTCAAATAGCTTTGTAACGGTTTCACCGTCCGATCGTATTTATTAAATCACTTCTCGATTATCATTTCATTAATCCCATCTCTAGCTTTTTTGCTTGGAAAATTTTCCGCTTGGAGCGCTTGATGCGGAGTTCCTGATCTGCGATCTTCCTCGCGCTTCCTTTTCACTTGAGCCGCCGATCGAACAACGGCTAGAAATTTCTTCTCAGTAGCACAAGGTTATACAGCACCATGTGCTAGAATTTTCTAGAATGTGTGTCCGTATAGGACAAAAATGATTGGGGCCACCCCCTTTCTCTTTCCCTTTCACTTTGCCTAGCCTTGGCCAATATTTTCACCCATGCATGTGCCTTGGCAGCGCCATCGCCTTTAACTTCGCCTACAACTGGTCATGAAGCCACTATAGTGAGGTCACCCCTCACAACTGGGACCTCCACTTCAACCATCCTCGCTTCAGTCGAGTCAAAATGGACCAGCGAAAGATAAGTCGATAGCGTTATAGCAGCGCCAAAGATGTAAAACTTATTTTGTTATTTTTGTAAAATTGTAATGTAATGAAAATGCCTTTTTTTTTTGTTAAATAAAATCTGTTAAATTTTTGTGTTCTGTTTGTTCTTCTATCCTCTAGCCATGCCATGGTCGACACACAGCTACACGCCTGTAGATGTCTTCATGCCACCGACAGAGCTACCGGAAGCTAATGGTAACCCCCTTTCTGTGATTGTGCAGAAAAGTTGGAATCTTCATTGCATTCCATCTTTTCTGGACTTTTTGCGGAAAGGAAGCGTTACATAAATTGGCGCTCAACGTGGGCGAGTTTTTCGATCTGTATATTGGAGCGAGTAGGTTTTCCTATATTTATTTC